GCTGTCTCAGAGGCCCTCGGTACCGCAGCCAACAACATCACGTTGGTTCAGCGGGTAAAAACTGGCTTTGCACTCACAGCAAAGAGTGAACTCGCTCGGAAAGAGCTCCTGGGCTCCTCCGCAGCACGGAGAGAATCTAGAATTTATCTGGAGCCAGCGTCAAATCTGGTTGCGCTACAAACTGCCACCGTCCCGGTGAGAATTAATACACTCACAGTATAACGGCTTGTGAGCCGATTGTTGTGTGGCACGTGATTGTATTCACGTGCTTCCATAATTCTACAGAAGTCTAGCTTTATTCCAGATCAGTTCAGCTGTAACTGAAATATTCTAGTAATTGGTAGCAAGACTGGGAACTACTATGACTGGAATATACGAGAAGCAGATATCAGCCAAGAACGAGTATTCAAGAAATCTTCATAAATGTATAAATAGTTGGAGTAATGCTCTGATAGATAGCCATAGAGAAAATTATAAACTACCTTCGTATATCTGATTGCTCCAGCATTGACACTCGAACCGTCACACACAGGTTCCGTTTTCATGACGGAAAAGATGGTCGCCGACGAAATCACGCGGGTGATCAAATCAGTTCCTTTTCTTGTTCGCCCTCACGTGACCAGCAAACCCGGGGCACCATACCAGAACTGACACTCACTCTTCCCCCACGAATACACCCTCCGACCTGGATTTTGCCTCTTCGATGACTCCGAAGCTGCAAAGCCCTTCCAACCTCGTCGACAAACAGTTCAGTGCAAACGATGTCTGGGCTTCCATGCCTCACGCCGGAGCACCCGCGCTCCGGTTTGCTGGAACTGCGGATCAAAGATGCACTCAGAAACGGAGTGCAAAGCCTCCACACGGTGTCGAAACTGTGGGGGACCTCATTGATCGGATTCGCGCTTCTGCAAAGCCAAACCCAGCAAGTTCGGAACCGGAGAAAAAAGAGCAGCTTGCGATGATTCGCAAGGTCGAGCAGAAAAATCACGCCGATTATGCTCGAACCAAAGTTGCAGCCGAATTAGCCATTCAGGCGATTCACGGCGCAAAGGACGACGTGTACATGTCGGACGGGTCGGGTTTTGGGATTCTAGAATCTGAAGAGGAGGTTCAAGGCTACGGCGAGCCCCGGTGAAGTCTTCGAGGCTTCAACGCGTTAATAGTAGGATACCGGCTGGAGAGAGGGTGCCTGCAAGCTCATCTTCTGCTCTCAGCGAATGAAAGAAATTGTCACTTGGAAGATGTGATAGGAAAGGGAACGGGCGAGAAGCGCAGGGTCCGGTCCTAATTGGCGTTTCTTCTGAATTTGATTTTAGTTTTGCTGTCAACACCACCATTTTTGTGGAAGTTCAAGCAGTTGGAATGAGTCGGGCCTGTATACAGTGATCCTTACCGGCTCCACTGGTCCTTTACCAATAGTAGGATGTAGAGCTTTTTACTTTAACTCAGGACTTTAAATTATTCAACGACAACAACAATTAGATAGCAGGAGACCCTAGAAGGATGTCCATGACTGGAGGGCAATACTGAACACCTGTACGCGGTGTCCTCTACGAACCTGGGAGTGAAATATTCTCCCAGAGCCAAGTTCAGTCAAATTTCGCAATATCAAAGAAGTTGGCCCACGAGGCAAAAATCCAAATTACTCCTCCACGTCGTTATTTCGCTCCCAACGAGTTTGACTCCTATCTTCGTCTCATCGAGTCTACAAGTACGACCAAGTACATCCTCATTCCAATGATCACACCACTCTTCGACCTTCTCTGGCCTCAGCTGGTCACCAAATACACGCCCACGCCGATATTTATACCCGACGGAGGAAGGAAAGCGTGGCGCACAAATCTGGGAGACAGTTCTTTGGGATGGATGTGAGAGGGATCTGGACAAGTTGACAAGATGATGCGAAGGACGGATATAACCTCGAAGGGCATGAGATTCCGAATTTTGGCAAGGAGTTTTTCGAATTGGGCTTTGTGCGCGCCAAGACTTCGCTTGCGAGAGTGCAGCTGACACTATAAAAACAAGCAGACGATGGAAGTTGTTGTGATCCGCCTCCTGGTGGTGTTCTCCGGTATAGTTTGAGTAGCCTGGGCACCTACTCCACTTGGGAAGAAGATATCTCAGACCATATTTCGCGCGGAGAAAAGTTGAAAGATGATGGAGGCATGCCTGGACAACTCAGGGTTTTTGAGACGTTCCCCTGGGTGGGTATTCACGGATGAGGGTTGACTTGGGGTGAAGAAAAAGCCACCATAACTTCGCAGTGGTACTTGCAAATTAAATCTGAGGCATAAGTGCTCTTCCTTAACGATGAATCATCTATTCTGTACTTTTCTTTGATATTGTATCATAGCTAGATAGCTGCATACGCAATTAAAATCTGATGCAAAAAAAAAAAAAAAAAGATGTCCATGACTGCAAGACTACGCGTCGCCTAAGGCGTCCCTTTACATAAACAATGACAACGCTTGACCACAAATGTGTTAGCGCTTGGCAAGGAACCGGATAAGCTCCGGTTCCAGTCTAACCTGGCTACAGCCTGTTTAATCCACTCTTCCCTAATACAGCAGCCCATCCTCCAACCCCCTATCTCCTAACAACTCAACCGAGCCAGCACAACAGAATCCTCTTTGAGATAAGGAAAACGGTGACATGCAACCTCGGCTCGGGGGGGGACAAGACCGAGAGGTGTTGAGAAAAGTGAGGCGGGGCAGAATAGTAGAATAGACATGGCCCAGCAACCCAACCGCCGAAACGTGGCATACAGTTTACACACTTTGCCCATGGCTGGATTATCCCCACAGCTATCGTATCATGGTAATCTATGTCGAGTCAAGAAGCCCTGCCGCCGCATCGGTGGCCGGTCAGGATAACTTGCGGACAGCCAAAGGGTCGTGGAAGAAAGACTCATTCTGACCTCTCCCAGTCGAGCTCTGACCGGGCTCACTAATCATCAGGGCCTTGATCTCTCGTACTCTAAATCTAGACCAGCGCCGGTCCAGAATAAAATCGGGAAACTAATGAAATCCAGAGAGAAAATCAATCATCCCTTAATGTCCTATCTGAGTGACGACGACGACGCAGGTCAGACTGTTTGAAAGGCAGCCTCTCTGGTTCATTCTCACCGCCGCTTTGCTTCTAGAGAGTAGAGATTCCTCCCTCCCGCTGTCTACATGGCGAAGTTGCGCTACGAACGCCCATCACAACCATCAGCTCATGGGTCGTGGGGAATGCCGCTTCGTCAGCTAGTTGGTTAGGCGGAGACTGTTCACTCTCGCTACTTGACTTGCATATATCATCCCGTATTACCACAATACGATGTATATTCTCTATTGTAAGGGCCGTTAAGCCTAATGATTTCTGTAGCCTACGCTGGCTGGCGCAGGCGAAGGCACCAAGGCAATCTTCGGGGAGGTTCTCGAAGGACACGCAGCTTAGGAGATTGTTGATGACTCTTCTGAAGGCATACTGAAGGTTCATGAGGATGACACGTTTGTCGAGAAACTTCTAGGCAGTTATCGAAGTGTCCTCACAATTCTGGCCATGGAAGGAATCTTATAGAAGGGGATTATCTTAGATTGTAGATATACTTGTAGTCTAGCTATTGGGATTCTCTCCCCAGAAAATTATAATTAATACACTGTACCTACAAGACTGCCCATGCATTTTGTATTAAGTGTCACGGTTTCGAGGGACAAGTGCTGGGGCAACTATGTGGTCGATGGTAGTAAATAATAATTCTAAGGAGAGAACTTCCACTACATCTATCTATTCATTTATATACGTGAAAGCCTCCTCGCCACCAAGGCTAATCCCTCTCCTGTTCCTATGCTATGGGACTCCCCTAGTGTTCTGACTATGCCTGTAATACAGCACTATCGCGTTATGGTCCGGAAGGATTGTACTCGGTCTCGTATATTCCCAGTCAGTGTAAGCCTATCAACATGTGGTGCAGTGCCGTACTGCCGAGTCCGATGCCATGTGAATACCATGCAAATGCCGACGCAAAAGTATTGTATTGGGTGGCGTCGCATATTAGCGCATTGGTAGCCATCAATAACGCCACTCGAATCAGGCCTAAGTTAACCAACATAGGCTACAGGGACCAATCGGCTTACCAGCCGTTACATTAAGACTGTGACACAGATATATATTGTATTTTACCCTCAGTATATTATCACCTCTGTGACTCTACTTCCTCAATATCCAAGCATTGGCGTGAGGCGTGTTTGTATCACGTGATTTTATAATGGTGCTAGGCTCCGTTTCATAATTTCGATATCAATGCTTGAAAGGAGGGAGGATAGAGAAGAGCAGAAATATATTACTTGTTTAAAGATTTCAAGGCCTTAAACAAAGTGACTCCCATTGTACCAACCATAACAATCTGTGATACAAAGTTACCGTATTCGCACTGCACCATCAGTAGCCCCTATAGCCAGATAAGTCGTAGATTCTATCCCCGCCGTACTAGTGCCGACAGTACAGACCCAAGAAACCTACCCCGTAATAATTTCTGGGTTAAATCTTCCAGGCTGCGAGAAAGAACAAGATATCCTAAATTTAGCTAGGGGGTAGTCGAAGATTAGATAGGTTATATTAATGGAGTATTTGAATTCGTATCCATCTAGTACCAAGAATAATCACCGACCTGATAGCTTTTTCCATCGACAATATCATTCGAGACTATATATATTGCAACAGACTTGTATTAGTTGATACGAGAATCCTGGGTTTAGCGGAACGCATATCGTCATTTTGCGAGATAAAAGTTTAGAAGCCGCAATAAATAGGAGACCAGATAATTTGAAAAGGGAAGATTAAACGTTTTGTTCGGATAGCACCAGGTTAGTGATCTGGAGCGATATCTCGTCTGAGCCTTAAATTACTTGAATAATACTGCATCCAATTTGAATTCATAGTAAATCGACCACCTTTTCTTGGAAGTAGTTTTCCTCTTATAGAAAAGATTCTTCGTCCTCTGGATCTAATAGTCTTATCTAGACGGGGCAGTGTAGCTCACCCGAAATATGAGTCATGTCTAGGCCGTTATGAAGATATTTGTTTACTTTTTTCTCGGATATTTTTTGAAGGAATTCCTTGAACATTCTCGGTTTACCACTAGAACTTTTTTGAAAAATTTTTTCTCTACGCTTTTCCAGCATGAGGGTAAAATTTTCGAAAGCACTATAATTTTTCAACATAAAATCATAAATCTTAATTCCATTTCCTTTTACGTCGTCAAGGGTAGTCTCGAGATACCAAACATGATCAATTCCTCTCGCGCGCTTAAAAACGTGTAGATGACCGTGGAACCATGCTAGTGCATATTGATGTCGCATTTCATACATTCCGTAGAAAGCTTGTCTTTTCCATACTTCTACTTCTAGTTTGATGTGTTTTTCCGCATTAATGATAGGCTTGTCTTCATAAGTATATGGGACAAAACAGCGGAACTCCCCATGGACTTGTACAAATCTTTCAGAAGCCAGCCTCATAATTTGGCTTGCCGTACACTTTGTCAAGTAATAAATAGATTTCATGCTAATAAAAGGGATTGGATCTAGCTCAGAGGCTATTGAGTCATCCCACCACGATCTTATTTTTTCGAGACAGTCTGTATAAATATCAGCCTTTTTGATTAATTCCAGGCTCGAGGGATGCGTCATCTCCGTCAGACCAGATGCAATATCATTCATGATGCTAATCATATTGAAATTGCGTGAACAGTAAGATGTGAGCAAGGTATCTTTTTCCGAAATCTTGTGCGGCGCCATTAAAATACTTTTATCCTTGGGTTTAGGAAAATATTGATTCTGTGGTATGTTGTAGGTACGGTAGTTGTGAGTAATTTCGTTCCCCACTAAAACTAAGCGACTTCTCGGATTTTCCGAGTCTAGGATGGTGAGAAGAAAGGCGAGGACACAGGTAATGCTCGTCATTTTCGGCAAAGTTTAACAGTCTGGAGGTTCACGTATCTAGATTTTGAAAGCTTGTTCAATTTGCCCTGATGTTCGGCCCATGAGCAATACAGAAAAGGACTTGTTGGCTCGGAATGCAATGAGCTAGGAGATACCAAGTCTACTTGAGAGAGAGGTCCAAGCCTGATATACTTTTCGAGAATATAAGCAGTCCGGGTTAATCCTTAGGTGCTCCGGTAAACGGCGCCTACAATTTAGACTTGATACCCGCTCAATACACCAGGCGCATGTGGGGAAGTGGGCAGCGGCAAACATTGTTAGTGTTAATTATGTGCTAAGAAGAGCAGGCTTGTCGGGACTTCCATAACACTACACGATGACTCGTGGAGATAGATTGCAACCTTCTGAACTCGTGTTTACCAGTGCTAAACTTTGTGAAGCTGGCTGACTTTTGGATCACAGTCGACCTTTGACATTTTAGCGAATTGAACAGGCGACGATGCTCGTTGATTCTAGCATTTTCAGGTCTTCAATTATTTGATCTAAGCTCTAGAGCATGCCTTGAATTGTTTACTTGAGATTTAAAATCCTAAGCTAACAATACGGATTCGGTTTTAGTTCAAGGGAGATGGAGTAGACAGTGTGCCACGAATAACTGAATGCCCTGTCGTGCGGAGCCAAGTTCGAAATACAATCTTCTTTCCAGCAAGGATCTGGTATCCATGCTTTTTGCCAATCGTTTTCTCATCGCATCTCTTACATGACCCATGGTCTCAATCTCCGACGAGTGCTATATATGACTGCGCAGGTTAAGACCTCAGACAATCCACCTCTATTAGTTAGTAGGAGCGGCTGGTAACTTTGTTCAGCTTCCCTTTGCCCTTCAGATCTATCCCTAGGAAATGAGGGACCAAGAGCTTAGATCCGCTTTCGCAGTAATACATATTCAGGAAGGCTTAGTCGCCGCTTTGGCTCTTTCAATAACAGCTTGAGTTTAGACAACTGCTCAAATTCACAGAGACTAGACTGGAAAATGGAAACTTTATGTTCCTTGAAGGCCAAGATAAACTGCAGTGGGCGCACCGAGTTATTTCGGCTGTCTAAATGATGTGTCTCCTAGGAGTTTTGACTCTTGAAACTGGTTTTGTGTTTGGCAAAAGAAAGATTTGTAGACTATGTTGTGGTATTACCTTCGGCCTACAAGGGAGATGGGCCGACGTTTACATTTCCGGTTAGGCTCTCCGGGCCGGTGATATGCTGCTTGAACTGTCTCCTATTAAGTTCTGTGGCGGTAGATTATCGCTGGTTTATTTTTTAGCCAAGTAGTTGTGAGCAGCATTGAGCTTCGGTTGATATGGTCCCCACGGTCAAACTCAAGAGGATATTAATTTGCTTACCCTTGCTGTAGCGTCGACAACATCCATTCCTGTGGAGCTATTATAAATATTATTTTTTGGAGGATCGGTGAAGACGAAGGAATGGAATGGAGAATAGTGGTTCAAGATCGACTGTGGGGAAAAGTCTAACAGTAGCCGCGAGGAAATGGGAAGTAGAGCGACAGTTCCAAAAGTAGTGGGGACTATGCTAAACCTGAAATTCGGTATAAAACGAGTGAAAAATGCCGCGTTCAATCTCCAGGTCGGCACAAAACCTAATATTTTGTCTGGATCTGGGGGCACTAAATCTAGTCAGCTGCAAGCTCCAAAGGCCCAGGGAAGCGCGGCAAGATGCAGTGGGGTAGAGCGTAAGAGCCGCTCATCCTACTTCTGCCGAAGAAAAATGCAAGGGGTCAGGAATCCTAGATGCCAATGTGAGCTCGTGTCATGTAATTCCAAACGAACGGTCACAGCTTGCTGTGCTTGGGTCAGAGCAAGGGGTGACTGGTAGTTGTTGGGTAGAGTTTAGAGCCGGTCATTTGGAGAAATGATGTAAACCCGGTAGAAGGTTCGAAGAATGAAACAATGGACCTTAGATCAGCGATCACGAGAGCTATTCTGCACGCTTGGGTTAATTCAGGAGAGAGATTCGATGCAAGAAAGTACGATCTGACGGGAAAGCTAGACAAATGACCATCGAGATTTGAAGTCATGGTATATCCCACCTTTTTGAGGACATCCTTGAACACAGGTCTGCCTTTTTTCCAACAAGACTTATCCATGACATAAATATTTCGAATCATCCATTTTGCATAGCCTTCTCTCCACCATGTCAGCTCCAGTGTCAATAGCCATTAGGTAGACACGGAACCGAAATTTAACTCATCTACCAAATATTGACCACGACCTCTACAAGCAAACGATTATTAGTTGGTCAGCGCGCTTTATTTATGCCGTTCAACTGTAGAAAAGCGTTCGACACATTTCAGCGTCTGGCAATTTCACCACATTATGTCGGCACCCCGAAGGTAGAATATTCTCAACACCTCTCGGTGGTGTCCCATACAAACCTCCAGCTCTCGCTGTGGGATCTAAAGAGCCGAAATTGAGTAGCGCCGTCCTCAATTCCACATGGATTCCTAGTCTATTTTGCGGTCTGTAGCGTAATTATCTTCCAATACAACCCACTATGAGCATTATCATAGAGCGAACTGCGATCAGATCGGATGGTAGGATGGAAGCCCAACTCAAAAAATCCTTGATCGTGAAGGAAAAGTCATCCGATGAGTATCCAGGGCGTACCTAGCACTCTAAACGGCGATGGTGGATTGGACCAAGTTGTTCTCTCATCTTACAAAGAAGGGAGATATAGATGGATATGCTCACCTCATGTGGTCCCGGTGTCTAGGCCTCGCCTGGCTGGTGCTGCAGGTTTTATGAGACTTGTTCCCGCGCACGCAGGTTCCATTGCTACCATTTTTACTTTTTTGGGTAGAAGATTCCGTGGAAAAGGTGGCCGAATTCCACGGGTAAACACTGAGCTGAATGGCTCTGTCGCCGTACCAATTGGTGTTGGTATACAGCAGAGCAAGTCCAGAATAAAATCAGGTAATTAACGAAATCCAAAGACGGAAGGCCTCCTACATCTTGCTATTTACATAAGGGATTTTAGTTAACGACGCCGATCATAACAGTCTCTGTTGTTTAGCAACAGTTTCCAATCTCCACCCTTGGTAGTCTTTAAAGCTGACTAGACCCTAGATTCCATCTCTACCGTACTGGCGCAGACAGTACACACACAAGGGAGTATTCCCGTAACAGGCTATTCATCAAGGGCTATATATTAATGATCTTTCAAGCTAAAAAAGAGGCAAGGAGCACTATACAGGGTGTAGCCTGGGTCATAGTGGAGCCCAACGTGCTGCATAAGCCATGTTTCTAGTAGGAAAAAAAAGCCAACCTAATCTAGACTTCCTCTACAGTCTATCTACTTCCTTTAACTCTAATAGCTGTTGTCCTATGACTCCCAATACTCGTGATTTAGATGAGTCTATTTCAGAAGTGTCCTATGACTGAATTTAGCGATTGGATGTACAAAATTATCACTATCCTTTCTCCCTCTCCTTGCCTGGTACATGACGAGGATGATAACTAAACATTTGTGTGGTCAGAGCATTTATAATAGATTCTAGCGCAACTATGGCATGTCCTTGCTACCGATAGCTGGCCTAGGAAAATTTGGTAAGGCTTGCGTCGGATGACCACGGACCCGAAGGAGATATGAAATAGCTAAGGCTTGTGTTAGGATAATGTCGGTAAAAGGATCATATTTTGGCAGTATGAAATGTTCTATGTATTTGCGTTATTCAGGTTGTCGTTAGGACACTGACAGGGGTCTGATTAAGCTCATTAGCGAGGCGCTTGGAGGAGTGGAAGGAAGGGAAGATGGAGAAGGAAAATTGAGACAAGGTTTTATGTATTTCGAGATACCAGTTAATTGACACTATTCACCGACTTCGTGACGGTACCCAATTTGTATTAATTCGTGTTTTACCAACAGATAATGCTGCTGCTGCCCAAACTTCGTGTATATTATTAGGTTTCTGTCAAACAGGACATTGCATACGTCATATACTACATCAAAGCCTCGAGTACTGGCAATTCATTTACCACCAAATACTTCAGCATGCTTGTGAACATAAAATTTTATTGAAGTGTTCCTCTGTCTTGCTTGAAAAATAATATTGCAATCGCCTGTAGCATCAAAGTGTAAGGGATTCATTTTTGAGAAGGTGAATTTTATGGAGTGGTTTGATGTAGCAGGTTTCTCGGAATAAGACGTCTGATGAGACGCTTGGAGCCTCATTGATGCGCAGAGTTGTAAGTTTGTTTTAGGCTGGGTAAGATGTGTATGTATTATGGTTATATGTTATGGGGTATAACTATGATACTTAGGGTGACGTGCTGGCTATAGCACGTGTGTGGGATCGAAGAGACGCGATGAGTAACTCACGCAATAAATGGAGATAGGTAATATGAGAGTAGGTGGGTGTATGAATGTAGGTGTGTGGAATAGTCCTAATTGTTGAAAGTATGGAGTAGAGAGATAATTCAGGTGATGTTTAATGACAGTTATTGATGAAGGGTTTGGTTGCTGAGTTTCCTATTATTTCTGTGTTGGGATACACTTTGTAGATGCTACTAGGCTCGATAATTAGTTGTCCCGATAGACTGGTGTTTGGCGAACGGAGATTGCGTATACCCAGTGTTAGCGTTGTTTACTGCTGTTAATAGGAGATCCCGCACGGGCTATCTATTGGGGTTAAAAGGAATCTGGTACCTGTGTTTAGAAGAGTAGTCGAATTAACATCCTTTTATCCTTCATGACTGCATAAGCTTCCCTTTACCAACAAGTCCACGAACTAAGTAGTAGGTTATAAATTTCAATACTAATGACAGATGTATGTGTGTGTGAACTATGTGTGCTACTAGCTAGGTACTAGGGAAGAATAATATATTCTGTACTATGGTGGTCGAGCCAGTTATCATTATTAATTCATTTTATTGTCCTGTCTGAGTCTATGACTATGTAGGACATGCAGGCCCTCTTTGCCTACAGACCAAGGATACCTATGCCAGTAGTAT